TCGCAGAAAAGGGCTGGTGGAGTGGCTCAAGGTGACGTCCTGAGTTCAAACCCCAGTACTGCCCATCCCTCCAAAAGAAGTTATATTGTCTAGGATTAAACTTTTCCCCATGGTACTAGGGATCAAACTCAAGGCTTCTTGCTAAGCAGGTGCTTTACCACTTGAGCCATGCCTCTGGCCTTTTTAGTTTGTTTCTCAGATGGGTTCTCCAGTTAACTGCCTGGGCTGACCTCAAACTGCAATCCTACTTCCACCTTCCCAGTAGCTGGGATTACAGGTGTGTTCCACCACAGTTGGTTCTAAAATTAAACTTTTTGATTTAAAGCGACATGTAATCTTTGATAATGCAAACAATTTAAAGTGATCACCTGTGAAAACCTCAGTAAATTAATAAAATTGAGCTGGCACAGTTTTATAGACACTTCATGGCTTAAATGGATAAACTAGATCTTGTAGAGTACCAGAAAACTCAGGTCTCTAAGCCCCCAACCCAGAATGCAAACCGGGTTTCCCTGCACGGGGAGGATTTGGGGAATGAATCAAGCACCTTACCCTGACTTCGGTTCTGAGATTTACACCAAAACACATCCCCTATGTAAGCCTCTCATATGGCACCAATTAAAATCAGCCTCCTATAGGGACTACAGGGCCAAACATGCTCTCATTTTACATCTGCTGATTGATCTGAATCACATCTATGGAGGAGAGGACTGTGACCTCTTACCTTTGCTAATCAGTCACTCTACATCAAAGTCAGCTACCCCTCTCCACCCAGAATTTGGCTTTAGTCACACACACTGTTTGTTACAGGGTGTGTCTGAGCTTTTTCTCTCTGATTCCTGGGTTACTTGAGTCCACAGTCACCCAGGTGAGGGAACTTGCCACTGAGGTCACCCTGCACTGCTGTGATGTCATTATGCAATATACACAGGAGGTGTGCCCACACCACTCATGTATCTTGAAAGGGCGGAGCAGTGAGAGTCAACATGGGCCCCTGGTCCTCAACAGGAAAACGACCCCTTTCATAGCAGCATTGTTTATTATTTCATTATGCATTGTTATTTAAATAAGTTGTGTGTGGCTTTAAACATCACAGATGATAAAATAGTGAGTTGGGTTAAAAGTCCTAACCCAATCCTAATCCACCTGTTGAAGAACAGGTGGATGCTAAAAATTACAGAGGAAGAGGACTGGTGGAGCAGCTTGAGTTGGTAAAGTGCCTACCTAGCAAGGATGAGGCCCAGAGTTCAAATCCCAGTACCACCAACCACTGCCCCACTCCCCACCACCAAACAAAAACCAAAATTACAGAAGAAGAAACAGTGTAATTCCTTATGAAACGCTGCTAGACTAGAAGAATCTTTACAAAAAGCTGTTTTGCAGTTTTAAACTGTGAGTGATGATGCCATTGTTTTAACTTGGAGGTCAGCAGGCTTTTTCTATCAGATAGTAAATAATTTGGGCTTTGTGGACCACATGGTCTGTCATTCACAAGGACACTGTACTGCTGCTGTACCTTAAAAAGAGCCAGACGTGACCCCTGAACAGATGGGTGTGCCTGTGCTCCAGTAAAACTTTATTTATAAAAACAGGAGACTGGATGTAAAGTGAGGGCCACAGCTTGCCAGTCTCTTCTGTACCGTGGCACCCAAGACAAGCAGAATATAGGCCACACGGGGAATTAAACATGTACCAGCCCCAATTAAAAAAAAAAAACAGGTGTACTGAGGTTCAGCTATGAGATGGCCCCAAAGGCTCATGTGTTCCAGGCTAGATGGGGAAGTGACTGGTGCCTCATCAGTGGATCAATCTGTTGATGGATTCATCTACTGATGGCCTTTCTAGGAGGTGGTGGTAACTAGGAGAGGAGGCTGCCTGGAGGAAGCAGGCCTCCCTCCCCTGCCTCCTGGCCACCATGAAGTAAGCAGTGTCTTCTGCCACATGCTAACCCCCAACATGACATACTTCTGCCTCATTTCAGGCACAAAGTGATGGTGCCGGCTGGCCGTGGACTGAAACTGTGAGCGCAGAGAAACCTTTCCCTTAGTAAGTTGCTCTTCTCCACCAGTCAAAGCTAATAAGGTGCAGCTCTCACCTCAACTTTAATGCTTATCCCAGTGCATCAAAAACACCATTGTTTTCGCACACAATCAATATAAAGACCCAGACGCTTTACAGTTCTTTGCACTAAATCTGTCCGATTTCAAGTGCTCAGTAGTCACTTGTGGCTATGGCAACCAAACTGAAGCACTTGTCCCAATTTGGAGCTGGGTGGCACAGTGTGAGATGCGATCATGTCATCCCACAGCAGCAGGGACCAAGGACTAAGTGCTACTGGCAGGAGACGTGGCCTGAGCTACTTGAAGATGAGACGAGATGGCCTAGGACCCTAGGGTGCAGTCAGGCAGTGGGAGCGTCCCTGGCCAGTGCAACCAATCTGATGTCCAAAGACGCTGGGAGAGACCCCGGGGTGATGGAAGGTTGGGCTCATTCCTGTAACCTCAGTAAAGAACGCTAAGTGTCATGTAGAACCGGAGGGTCTTCAGCCCTGACACTCAGAACAGAAAGCACACAATCTAAACATGAGATCTGGAAGGCAGAGAGCTTGTTAGTGAGTGAGGATACAAATGAGCGTCTTGTGTGGTTAATAAAACACAGAGGCATGTGTTTTTAACAAAAAATTTATTACCAAAATACAATATTAAAGTCAATACATGACAAACTCCTGTAAAGCAAAATAAATTACTCTAACATTGTACAGTATCTGCAAAGGTAGTAGAAGAAGCGAGCGCTACCGACCTTGCTCCAGGTTCTCAACAGGTGGCTGTCCTACCATGAGCGCGCTCCTGGAGTTTCGGCTTTTAAGGCATGCAGCTCCATGTGCAGGATAATTTTACAAAATGCAAATCATCCTATTTTCATAAGATACAGTGTCAGAATTAATCAGAGTCTGTACACGTCAGTGTTCCAGAAGACTTTATGCTTTGGCTAACGAAGCAACGTATAGTGTTACACAATACTTATTTCTTAAAAAAATACATGTATTCACGCTCATGAATATCAACCTCAAATCTCAATTAAATATGCGTCCTAGAGTAGTACTCAGAGCACCTTGCTGTACAATACGAAGATTAAATACGTGTCTGTGAAAACTACAAGCTAAGTCTCAATGACAGGCCTGCTGCCCTTGTCAAGCCAGTCCTCCTCGGGAACATACAATGTAAACAGATGGCCACTTGCTTCATGAGAAAAACAGAGGGATCACTGACAGACCTGTCACACAAGGCTCCAGCCAGTGTCACTGCCTGGCAGGTGGAGCCACAGAACACAGTGTGCACGCCAAGCAGGGTTGAGCACGGTGCTGCTGGGACACTGGTGATACCAGCCACGTTGGGATTGTTAGAGAAGGGGAAAAAGCACGAAGCCCCGAAGGGCACAATTCACAGTGGACAGAAGCATCGCCTCCAGTGCTAACCTTTCCCAAACCCAGCAAGTTCCCTTTAAAAACTACTTCCACTGTCAAGTCTTTGAACTTTAGGTTTCAGAGCAGAAAACAAATTGCATGAGCTTTGTACGGCAACAGGTCTCGAGGTGATGAACTCACTCCTAGAAACTCCTTTATCCTACAGGTTATCTTTAATAACGAGCATATTTAAGCTTCAGTATTACTCGTAGAAAGCTCAACTGTTCTCGAAGACACTGTCTACAGCTTGCCGTGGAGGAGCACGGGACTGCAGAGCATCCCTGGTGCAGGGACGGCCTCTCCCACGCCAGAGGACAGCTTAGGACACTGCAAAGCCAGGGTCAGGTGACAGTTCAAATCATGATCCCAACAGAAAATTTAAGCAATAATCAGTGGAGGGGATTTAAGGAAACTGAGAAAGGTAATTTACAAAGTTGCACTGTTGAAACTATTATTTTCCAAATGATTACCTAAAATTAAAGGATAAGAAGTTTTTATAAGGAAACAAGGAGTCAGAGTAACCGCAATGAGAAACTGATCTGTGATACGAGTAGCAACAGTAAGTGATAAAATGGAACCGTTTTAAGTTATTTTATTTGAATTTAAAGTTAAATGTAAATGCTTCAATCCTGAAAATAGGAAAAAAATGCACTTAAGTCCACATACAGTGGATTTGGGGGAATATAATTTAGTATATATAAATTCACTGCACCCTTTTAAAAACCATGTGTCAGAAATGGATTAACTTTCACAAATAAATTAAAGCTACCTAAATCAAAGAGCTGCAAAGTTATGGTCAATTCTGTTTGCTTAAATATCATCATCAAAACGAGACTTAAAAAAAACCCCACAAAACCCAAATCCAACCATGTTTCAACATGTCTGGCACCACTTCCACAGCTCCTATGCTGTTGTAACCAGTAATTCATGTCATTCGTACTGGACTCAGGAACAAAATTCCCTCCTAACGTGTCCACTGACTACCCCACTCACAGCCTGGACTCTGGACGATGGCACTGCTGGCCATCAGCCTTCTGACCCGGAGGCAGAGTTTACTTTCACAAAGCCACGCGTAAACTAGTGACCAGAACTAGACACAACACCCTGTTTTCTCCGCCCTCTGAAGCAGCTGTCCTTCAAACACGTAGTTAGTGAGATAATGGCACTTTCAGGCGCCTTTCCTGTCTTCTTACACTCAATTTGCCAAATGCTGTTTGTCATCAGTATTTCTGCAGCCAATCTTATTTTTACCATATCGTAGGGAGGCTTGGTGATTCCTCTTCTGCTGAATATAACTAACTAGACTCCAAGAAGAAAAATTTCAACAGCAGTACTAACTTCAAGAGGCTTCTGAATTTTATCGCTTCTCCAAGTAATTTGTTTTTGAGACAGGCTCTCACTATGTAGCCCAGGCTGGTCTTGAACTTGCAATCCTCCAGCCGCAGCCTCCTCAGTGCTGGGATTACAGGTATCTCCCACCACACCCACCCTTCCAAGTGATTTTTATCTTATTATTCAAATTGTTTTCAAGGCCTGATGGTAAAATGCAAATCTTCGTATTTGGTTGCTTTAAGACTGTTTCAGATAACAAGTGAGTTTCACTCAGCAGAGGATTAGAGGGCATAGGTAACTATGGAGAAGTGTGCCCTGTTCTTTCAAGCACTCAGAAAAGAACCTCTGAGAAGCGCACTGTTTGAGTGCACCATTTCTTGAACTTGAGATTTGGTTTGAGTCTGGAAGGAATTCACTTAATTCCTTCTTTGCCAACAAGAGAGTCGCTATAAATTTCGGACAATATCTGACTTCTTTAATGTCTACTTTTCCTTTTCAGGGAGTAAGGACACACCCGAAGTTAAGAGTGAGATAGATTCCTATGAGGTTAGGGGAGCCCTGCACTTGTGTCCTTGTTCACTCTTGGTGACAACAGAACCCCCTCTATGAGCTGCCCCTTCCCAGCAGAGGCCTGTCTAGTGAGCACACAGTGCGACACTCTGAGGACAGTGGTGCTCAATGACAAGTGTCAGAAGACTCCTGAAAAGCCCTTCGTAACTCATCACTACGTTTGCTTCATTTCTAGTGGAATAAGCTGTGATCATAAACACACAAGGTCAACACAGGATTACATTTCTGCTGCCTCCTCGACCTGCTCCCCTCCCTCAAAATATTACGAATCCTCACTGCTTATTTGTTTGGAAGCTGTCTCATTGCAAGTGTGGTTCCATGGCCACGCCCGCTGGTTGTGTGTGTGGTGTGGTGGGCTAGGCCGTGGGCAGAGCTGGGCTGGGTCTTTGTTGAGGATGATATTGACAATCTCGCCTTCATGCTCTTTCATGTGATCCAAGAGGTTTTCTTTGCTGGTTGACTCAAAACCGCAAATGCAGCAACAGAAGAGTAAAACACAGTACTCCATCCCGGGAGGGGCCAGACTGGAGGCCTTTTCTAAACTAGATGAGGTATTGCTTGTTGGGCTCAGTTTCACTTTCTCAGTGGGATCCATGACATCACCGGGGGCTTGGGAAGTCAGCTCCGAGGACACCACCATGTGTTCTGAACTTCCACCCACCGGACCGGCTCTCTCTTCACTGCTGTTGAACAGAGTTTTCCCAGCGGACTTCCCCAGAACTCTTCAAAACAAAAGAAAACATAACAAAACACACCAAGTCTTGAGTGGGCCGCCCTGCAGGATGAGTAGACTCAATCCTAACTTTAATGTACAGATAGCAACAAAGGGAGAGGGGAGGAACAAATACCTGCTGCTCTGTGAAATTGCATCATTAATTGCCTTGTTGACTTGCTCGTAGTTGTAATTCTGGTCACTCGCATGCTTCCACATGTGTGACTTCAAGGAAGGAGGATGGCTACAGACGTACCCGCATAAAGAACATCTGGAAGATAGGAGTGAGGAAACTCAGAGCTCTCACACTGTTCAGACGGTCACAGTGCCCACACCACTCCTGAGGCTCTGCTAGATAGACAACATCTTGCTCAACCAAGACAGACAGGTTGTGAGACACAGAGTGATGTGACAGAGGCCCTAGAATGGAGGTGGCACGATCAGTCACAAGGGAAGGCAGTCTCAGGCAAACTCCTGACCACTTACAGCTATTACAAGAGCTGCAAGGACTTCTAACTCAGTAGAAGTCTTTGTGCTAAATTCTTTAGCCACACACAAGGAAAAATATGAAAATGAATATCACACACCATCCTATTTCTTAATCAAGAAAGCAAAAGGGAATTAAGTGGTTTTTCAATATGAATTCTGCAGTTACTTGCAAAGCCACAGAAGATGGAAGTAGATTTCCTGTATAAAACACATGACTTAATGATCTTAAGTGCTTGCCTTAGTGTGGTTTATGTGTCACTACTGATGAGTCGATATTGGGTCCACAGCTGAAACCAGCGTCCACGGCTTGTGCTGAACAACTCTGTAGTGTTACGGATGCACTAGGACAGGAACATACTCAATGGTCTCACTGTTCTAAAAACCCCTTGTGCTTTACCTATGCGCCCTCCCTCCTGCTCTAGAATTCCTGGAAACTGCATCTTTTTTTTTTTTTTGGAGACAGGGTCTTGTTATGTAGCCCAAGCTGGCCTCGAACTTGAGATCCTCCTGCTTCAGTCTCCTTAGTGCTGGGATTATAGGTGTGCACCTTGTTGCTGTCCCATCCTTTTGTCTTTTCCAGAATGTCATATAATTGGAGTCACAGCAGATGCAATTAAGGTCCCTCTGCGTCTCTTAGTGGCATGACAGTGCTTTCTTGTGAACAAACCATGGGTTATTATCCAGTCACCTACTGAAGGACATCTCGGCTGCTTCCAGTTTCTGCAGTTACGAGTAAACCTGCTATGAAATCATGTGCAGATTTTGTGTGCATAAATATTTTTCGTCATTTGAGTAAATGCCTAAGTGCACGATTACCAAACTGTGTTGTGAAACTGCCCCTGTTTTGAGGAAATTGCAAATGTACCTTTTCAGACATTTTCGTTACACACTTAATTACAAACTTAACAAATCAGAGAACTCATCTGAACTGTTCCCTACAAGAATGGTCAGCAAGTCTCATGGCGTAAGAGTAAATAAAGAATTAAGCACAGCAAACACTAAACTCTTATTCTGGCCCACCTCCGGCTGAAGACTGCGTGCAGCAGTACTTTTCATTACCCGTCCTGAGGCTCAGGCAAGGCCAAGGGTTTTGACCTTAAGAAATACCAGTTCTCTTAAATAGGCAGCTCCTGGTAGAACTTGCAAGGACTACAAACGTGAAAAGCCATTCAGTCCCATTCACAGCTGGGGACAAGCATCATGCTCGTGGGACTCATAGGATCCACAAAGGAGAAGTCTCGGCACGTTCCGGGTCAGGAGGGCTGAAGTCTGAGACCAACCTGGGCAAACAGTTCTTTTGGTCTTACCTCAAAAATACCTCATGCAAGAAGGGGCTATTGGCATGGCTCCAGTGCTAGAGTGCCTGCAAGCATAAAGCCCTGAGTTCAAACCCTAGTACTGCCAAAAAGGAAAATAAAACTCAACAACAAAGAAAGAGCAAGTCTGGTAAGATGTGAAGGTGATGTGGAAAGTGGAACACAAAGGTTACACACGTGGGCATGAGCGCTCCAAAGAGCAGTTAGGAAATACCTAAAACTAAAGAAACAAAGCTACCCACGTTGCTACCTAAAGACATTCTTTTACTGTGCATAAGGACACACATGTAAGATGGATCACTGTGTGCGGTGTGGGCGTGGCTCAAGAGGTAGAGCACCTGCCTAGAAAGCTCCAGGCCCTGAGTTCAAACCCCAGTGCTGCCAAAAAGAAAAAAAGAAAATCCCTGTAATCAGGAACAGCAGTGTGTGTGTGTGTGTGTGTGTGTGTGTGTAACCCTCAGCCACTGCTCTTTCACAAGGCCATGGAAACAAAGTGGTTTATTTCATATCACAGAGCATTACACTGTAATTAAAATGAGCAGAGAACTAGCAAAGGACTAGACGAGTGAAAGAGGTAAAAGGCTTGAGTGCACACTGATCACGCTTACCAAGACCGATCATCAGCAGTGACAAGAAAGCAGAACAAAAAGATTTGTTTGGTACACTATGTAGATAGCTAAAGTAACAAAACAGCCATTTGAGCCAAGTGCTCGTGGCTCACATCTGTAATTAGCTACTTTGGAGGCTGAGATCAGGAGGATCAAGGTTCAAGGCCAGCCCAGGCACACAGTTCCTGAGACCCCCCAACTCTAAAATAACCAAAGGGTTGGAGGTGCAGGTTAAGCGGTAGAGCGCTGCTCATGAGTAGGAAGCCCTGAGTTTAGACCCCAGTACCACCAAATCATTTTTAACAAAGAAAAACTAACCTAAAGGTTGGGGTAGCAGCTTCCTGGGTAGAATGTCTGCCTAATACGTGTAAGGATCTGTGTTTTATACCCAGCACCACACACACACACACACACACACACACATTGTCAGCCGAGTCTCTTTAAGACTTTATAAGGTGTAAGATTTTCTAGCTAGCACAACAGAATTATCACAATATTGGCCACACACACACACGAAACCCCAACTTATTTTGCCTGCTTGTATCTGTTTTTTGACAGCTCTCAGTAAATCTGTTTTCACTAACATCTTTATAGAAGGCCCAACATGGCAAATGCTGCCACCCTCAGCCATAAACTCTGGTGTGTGTCCATTACTCAGTTGCCATACTGTGGTGCGGGCTGCCTGTATATATGTGGACAGCCCCTGCCCGAGTCTCTCTGGAGAGACTCGATATGAAGTGTCCCCACAGGCCCATGGTGGACACTTGGTCCCCTGCTGGTGGCACCAGTGTGGGAGGTGTGGCACACTTGGAGGAAGTAGGTCACGGGCGCATGTCCTTAGGCTCTATCTTGCCTTGCCCTTTCCTGTATTCCCTTTCTCTGCTTTCTGGTGACCATGTTAACTGCTCTGCTCCCACATGCTGCCCCTGCTATGATGGTCTGACATTTCTACAACCCCGAGCTAAGCATATCTTTCCTCTCTGAAGCTGTTCCTGTCAGGTTAGTCACAGCAATGATAAAAATAATACAGAAGAGTGACTACGTATGGCACTGTGGCCAGCTACCCAGCTCCACGCTGGTCCAGGGGTGCCCACGAGTCTCCACCTGGTACTTCTCCCAAGTGCGATGCTGTACACAGGTCCAACACTTCCTGGTAACATCCAGTAGAAACACCGTCCTATTTCTGTCACCCAAAGGAGAAAGAAACAGACACGAAGTTTTGGTCTATAGGTTACTCATCTCCACACACACATCCGACCACTCCCTGCAGCTCCCGAGAATTCTGCACCCAGGATAAGCTATGGATGCCGCATACAGAAGTGTCCCCCGAAAGAAAAGTCAGTTCTATATAACCAGAGTTTCATTCTTTAAAAAAAAATTTCATTTATTCCTTACCGAGTACTTGGGGTGCCGGGTGAATGGCTTTATTTGTGGCTTTTTCCCGGCTTTCAAGAATTCATTATAAAACTGAGAGATGTACAGAAAGCAGCGATGAAAATAAACATCAGTCATAAATTTAGCAATAGTATAATGAATATTAACATTTCATGTATATATCCCAGTCTAAAATACAGGCATCAGTTTTATAAAATTAACACTGCACACCTGCTTCATTAATATTCCCAATGTAATTTACACTTTTAAAATGAAATACCGAATGGATGCCTAGCGTTCTATCACCGGACTGGTGCGATTCCCTGTTTCATGAAAATATCAACTCCAAAAATTGATTAACTGTCTTTGCGTAAGACATGCAGACACATGAATCCTCTGTCAGTCACTGGGAACACGGTCCGTAAGCTCTCATTTGTGTGCCAAGACACTGCTGGTGTCCTTTAGGGAACACAGTCACCCTGGTTGGAACTGCTCTGATCTGGAGGCTTGGTTAAATCCAGGTCAGATTTTTTTCTTTTTAATTTTTCTTTCTTTTTCTGGCAGTACTGGAGTTTGAACTCAGAGCCTCACACTTGCTAGGCAGGTGCCAGCAAATTTTTCTTTTTTTAACAAACATATTTCATGTATTTCCTATTACTACGGCTTCAGGTGGACAGCACTAAATCCTGTCTTTACCTATCATCTATCAATCTGTTCATCTACCCATCTATTCTCTCTCTTTCTCTCTCTCTCTCTGTGTCTCTCTCTCTCATTCATCCATCTGTATTGGGAATTGAACGCAGGGCCTTAGGACTGTTCTACCACCGAGCTCATCCTCAGCCCCTAAAATTAACACACATTTAAAATAAAAACTCTGTACAAAAAGATGGTAACTCTTCAACTGATCCTCTGCACTGAGGGAGCTCACCGGGGCTCACTACCACCGTGCACGCTGTGGAGGAATGTGTCAGTCTGAGGACAGACAGAGAGGAATGAGGTGAGGCTGTCAAAACGGAGGGTGAGAAAAGCCTTTGCAGATGGTGTAACTATAAACCTGGACAATGGAACAGAACACTAAAGACTGCTACAAATATGAGGTAATTCATTAGGGCATAAAGCCTGTGAGAACATTCCAGAGATCAACAAAGCCTCCAGCTGCTTCTCCCACACATCTACACGTGGAAAGATGTTTTATTTTGAAACTCACCACACACAGTCGGAGCAGTAGAAGGTGTGTGCCGTTCAAACTAATGAGCAACTCTGCGCAGCACCTGCTACAGGAGCACTGCCACCACCTCAGGACCTCCTGTGCCCCCCATGACCTCGCGCCCCTTCTTCCCCAAAAGTAGCATCAACTTTTCACAATTTTTACTCTGCTGTTTCCTTGCTTTCTTAGCTTTACTGCTAGTTTGTCTCAACAACTGTCTGCATGTTTCTGAGTATAGCAGTAGCATCCAATGTCTGTAACTTGTTCCTCATTTTGCTTTAGTAGTTTTGAGATTTATCCACGTTAACTGGTCTGGGTTATTTAGTTTATGGGGGGCCTGCTCTTACTTTGCATTTGGCTTTTGCAATTTCTCAATTTCCCTGAAAGAAACCGCAGAGGTGAGGCACTTCCCAGTGGTTTCAGTGTCCAGCCAGCGCTGCGGTCATCTGCCTGGGAGTGTGGTTCTGGTCAACTCATCTGCTGCATGCCCATGGATGCTGAGTTTACACTGCTCAGTCAGCTTTTGTCTTGCTCTTGTCTTTTCAAATTTCTCTCTCCTATTCTACTGGGCAGACTTATGTCTCTAAGTTTTGCTGATTTGACTAATCAGTATCTTCTAATTGAAGAAGTTCTTCTAATCTCTTTGAAAGAGAGGAAAATGGTGGCAGAGCTAAGTGGTGTGCGGTATGCTTAGGGCTGGGGATGCAGCCCAGTGGTGGAGCACCTGCCCAGCACACATGGCCCTGGGTTTGATTCCAGAATCACAAAAACAAGAGTCACTGGGATGGAAGCCATTCTGAAGACACTAACAATGGTAGGTACTCACTCACGACAGGATCCAAGGTGGAAAAAAATACAGGAACAAACTGGTAAGGTTAACACTTTCTCAAAAGGACCTTCACCTGATGAGAGGAGCAGGAGTATTCCAGGAGAACTTCAAAGTCACCTAAGCTACCCTGGCTCCATTTGTACTTCCTGTTTAGCAATGTTTCCTGAAGCTGAAGTTTTTCTTTTTCCCACTTCCTTCCTCCTTACTGCCAGCACACAATCCTAAATGCAACAAACCACATTTTTCTCAGCTTAAAAAAAAACTACGAGACACTCCTGCAATATCACCTGCTGTATTTACTAATGGTACCTACTGACCATGTCCTCACTTTTTACCTTCTTTCCTGAGGAACCATGCATTTTGTTGAGTCGGAAGATAAAGAGCGCAGATGGGGAAGGGGTTGGAGTGGTTTCCCACAGTCACTCACAGGGCACAAATCTGTGGTCCCGGCCTGGGAGTCTGAAGCAAGTACACTCCCTCCTGAGCCACTGACGTCTTTGAAGCAGTCAGACAGAGCACAGGGATGGCATCTCTCTTGTAAAATAAGCTACACCTGCCTATCCAGGAACAGTGTTATTCTGCTTCCAAAATGACAAGAGCCTATGAGCCTTTTCTTTTCCACTTCTGGTTACCGATGATTGAGAAGCATGAGGACAGAACCTGGGCTCAATAGCTATTAGCTACTGCAACTGGCTGCTGATAACATGTCTCAAATCCTGCCCGCAGCCTTAATTGTGCCCACTTTATAAATTACAGAAGCAGGCACAGGGGAGGAGGCAGTGTGCTCAAGGCCCTAAGCCCTGGCAGTGAGAGCTCAGACGGAGTGCAGGCCTGTGGGTCTCTAGAGGCCACTGTACTGCACGAGATCACCCGAACGAGTTCAGTGAAGGACTGGAGCGGCCACACAGGGTGCGGAGGCACGAGAGAGGAAGAGGTCGCCACCGTGTAAAAATCTCCTCCTTTTATGAGGAGCCCTCTGTGCCCCAGTACACAGGCCAGCATGCATCAGGGCATTCCTGCTCTAGAGGAGCTCTGGTACTGGTGGTCATGTCCCTTAACAAAACACAGAAGCGGAAATGCGCTGAGAAACCAAGCCTGAATTCTGACCACCAGTATACCAGGCAACAAAACTGAAGTAAGCCAGAAAAACCACTGTGACCCTTAGATTAAATCGGACACCAAGGTGGCCAGACATTCTAGTTCAGCCGATAGCAAAGGAAAAAAGCCCTAGAAAAACATGGTGAGAACGAGCTGCTCGATACTCTCAGGCGGCAAATCCCATGGAGACCAAGGAGGCTACCTGTGTAAAGTATGCCCTTGACCAAAGTGGAAAGGGTCTCAGGACTAGAAAATGAGACTCAGGAGATACTGCATCAAGAGGAGTCCCAGAAGGTGTTGCCCACTGATAGGAAGGTCCTAGAACAAATGACCAACCCTGCAAGTCGGATCTAAGAAAACACCCCGAAGATACAAGAGCTATAAAAATGAATCTTTAAGTTGTAAGACTTATCTGCTCAGGTAGACGCGACACCCTCTTCCATAGACTCAGAAATCAATCACCAACCTCCTCCAACAGTTAGGTTTATCCTAATTGTGTTCAGGTGGAGCGTCCCTCACCCAAAATGCCTGGGACAAGAAGTTCAGAGTTCGGATTTTTTAAAAAAAGTATTTGCATAGGAATAATAAGGTATCTTGGGTACAAGACACAAGTTGAAACACCAAATCCATTCATGTTTCATGCATACCTTATACGCACAGCTTGAAGATGTCACACTTTTTCTGGCAGCACTAGGGCCTGAGTTCACTTGCTAAGCAAGTGCTCCTACACTTCAGCCCTTTTGTGCTCTCAGTACTTTTTGATAAGGTCTTATGTTTTTGACCAGGGCCAGCCTGACACTGCAATCCTCCTTCCTACATCCACCTCCTGTGTAGCTGAGATTATAAGCATGCACCACCATGCTGGCTTATTTAGTGAGGTGAGGTCTCACTAACTTTTCGACTTAGATGACCTTGAACCCCAATCCTCCTGATCTCTACCTCCCGAGTAGCTAGAATTATGGGTGTGTGCCACCATGCCTGGTTCATACAATGTATTTTTTTAGTACATCCATGTTTTGGTTTACACTCACCACATGGAGTGGTAAGTCACGTGTGGGATTTTCCACTTGTGGCATCAGGCTGACACTTACCAAGTTTTGGATTTTGGAGCATTTTTCTTCCTTTTTTTAGGGCCTTGTGCACACCAGGCACGTGTTCCACCACTGAGCTATCGTCAGCCCAGGGAACTCTGGGTCAGGGATGCTCAGCCTGTATTGTGAGTTTTGTCTACTGTCTGTCTACAGCCCCAAGCTAGCAAGGACGGTGCTTTCTTTGTCTTGCATGGGATCTAAGGGTCCAGCACACCTCTCAGAATGCGGTGTTTGCTCAATGCGCCTCAATGAACCCAGAACAGTGTAATTCTAGACATGACTCTGGCATGCTGTGTCATGAAATTAAAGTGAAATTCCTCCTCCCATGAGGACTCCAGCATCCCCATCCCTGTCACGTGCTCCCAGACGCTTCCCAGTGTCCATGGAGGATGACACGCACACACCTGAGCTACTGTTAATACTGGCTTTTGCAGTATTCCTGAAAAAGTCTTTCATAGGGATCCTAATCCTGAAGATAACCTGCACTAAGATACTGACCTACTAATGAGAATGCCTGTATTTTGTCTACATACACAGACTCTGCTTTTGTGAAAAACCAAGTAAAAAATGTTATTTTACATGTGATAGCTACATATAACAGCTTAATTTTCAAAAACGGAATGTCTCATAGGGAATTTTACTGCTTTTAAATTTTAAGGACCTTCCTGTGTGGGAGTTGACATGAGTGGGAAGGAGGAGGATATGAGGAAAGGGTAAAGGATGGCAAATATAGTTGAAATATTATGTCCTCGTGTTATGAAAATGGAAAATGAAACTATTCCTGTGGAAACTATTCCAGGAATGGGGGGAGAGGGGATAAAGGAGAATGATCAAGGGGATATTCAACTATGATATGTTGTAAGAATTTTTGTAAATGTCATAATATACCTCCAGTATAACAATAATAATAAAAAGAAATTTAAGGAACTTTTGCTGGAAATAAAAGTTCCCAACCACCAATTACTGTGATGTATTCTAGAACAGCAAAGCCTCCTCTGGCATCTCACCCTCCCACTGAAATGAAAGCGTAAAGCAACTACAAATGCCACTGTTCTAAGATTCCAACCTAAAGCTCACACTCCTCACCAAACCTAAGGAGACCATGAATCAGTAGGTAAAGAAGACTCTTAACTCCTAACCTGTGTTTCAATGAGCACTAGAATTTTAAATTACTTCTAACTTACTTCTTCATTATAAATACACACACTGGACTGGAGGTGAGGCTCAAGAGGTCGAGCACCTGCTTCACAGGCATGAAATCCTGAGTTCAAACCCCAGTCCCACCAAAAAAACCAAACCAAACCAAACCAAAACCAGGTACTAGGTTCTGGAGACACCACACTTACCTGTACGGCTTATCGGAGTTGTGGATTCGCCTGTGGTTTCTGACACCAACGTAGGTTGTGCTCGTGTAGTCGCACACATCACATCTGTACTGCTTCTGGGCTGAGGACTTATTCCCTAGGTAAAGTATTGGAGAGTTTCAGAGGCGTGTTTGGTCAGACTCACACAACAGCACTGGCACTCAAGAGTGAATGACTACTCCCACCACACTCACACCACACACATTAACAATTCAGTCAAGGTTCCTCACTGCTTAAAAGTGACAGGTCTGAAGTGGCCTCATGGATTCTGCTGCACCTAGACCAGCAGCAGATGCAGACTGAACATCACCTAACCTGTAAGCAAACACAGACTGGGCTGGTTTCTGCGTAACCTCATACAAAATTCTCAAGTACAACAAGCTTGCTTACAGCTGCCCTGCTGAGTGTGTAGGAGCTAAATTAACCAGAGACACACTGTTGATCTGCAGGGTGTTACTAGATCAATACCAGGTACAGTTTCTTACAGAAACCTGACTTTTCAGCAAGCTGTAATCTAATACTATAACACAGTGGCCACGAAGCATATACTGCAGAGTCAATATAAAAAGCCTAAAGGTTTTCCACCCTGTGGGCTTCTTTGGTTTATATATTACTAAGTGGCAGCTGTCAACTCAACCTGGGAGGAAAGAAGTGCCAGCAGAAAGTGCTGCATGATACAGAACAATGACCTGCAGTGACCTGCCAGTCACAGGGACAGAAGTTATGAAAGGAAGGGAGGGTGGATCCAAGGAGACAGGCGGCGTTACCTACAGGCTGCATGGTCAAGGGTAGCGGTTCAAGTTAAGGGCCTGACCAGTATGGCACTGTCTCCGGCAGCTGTTCTGGGCTTTCTCTACCATTCCATCAGCACAGGGTCTCCATCCTGACTCCTCCACATTCAGAAGCAAAGTGAGAGTGGAAGCTCCAGAACTGGGAAGAGCTGGAGAGCCCAGTGAGCCTGGAGGAAAGGAAGCTTGGGGAGCCCACTGGGACAGACAGCCCAGCAGTAAAATGGTGTACTAAAGGAAGCCCACCGAAATTCCAGAAAAGAAAAGCTGAAAGTTAAATTTAAGCTTTCTAAAACTGAAATTTTCTTTGGCTAATAATTACTGCCAAGCAAAACAAAATGTACTAATTTCCTGGTATAAATCTGTAACATTAATACACACACTTATCATAATTATAATCTAAGTATTGCTCTTAATTGGTAGGTTAAAAACTTGGACTTGAATATAAATGGCACTGTTCCAAATAGAGCTTTAAAAAAAAAAACCGAAAAAATGAACTGTGAAATATTGGATAACGGTTTTGTGTGAGAAACAGTGCGGATCAATAACAACTAATAAAACTGACAGATGGAAAAACCCAATATAACACAGAATGAAGGCCAGTGCTACTTCAAGCAAATGCTTTTAACAAATCTAAAGACTGAATCTAAAGTTTAAAAACATGGGCTTGGTCCTTGCTCAGCCACGTAGGACCAGTGTCATCACGGGTGAATCATTTTAGCTTGTGAGAGGTCAGGCTGTTTATGCACAACATGGAAAGACTAGAAGCTTGCAGCATGGGTCAGCAAGTCCTGTTTTTCCTCAGCGAGGTGTGAACACCGCACATTCAGGTGAGCCACTGCCCTACGCTCACCTGTGAATTTCTGAAGGCAAGGGCCTGTCTGTGTGCTTTACACTGCATCCCCAGGGCTTGGCACACTGCAGGCTTCCAAGAAAGGTGAAATTAATGAAATGTCATGAAGAAACACCACAAGAAAGGGCCTTGCCTGCGGCTCTTGTTAGGGCACCTGTCCAGTTCTGACTTCCTCACTGGGCTAGGTCTCTCAAAGGCAGGACGCCCTTCCTTCACTTTTAGCACCTGGCACAGCACCATGCCACTCTTCTGGCTGAACAAGTTTGCGCAGTGCCTTTACTGGGCCTCTGTGTCAAAAGCGTGGCTGAAGGTGTATGTGCAGTAAAGCTGGGCAGAGACTGGAGCCACAGAGCCATATGTGTCCTCTCTGCTTAAGCAATTTACTACACAGTTGAAGTTTTAACAAAAATTAACTTTTCACGTTCTTTGTGAGCTAAAAATTTGCTCTACAGTCTGTTAACCAGATTTCAAAATATCTAACACTGAATGAATGAAGTGCCTGCCCAGGACTAAGTATGCAGAAAGAGGCCAGGGTGTGAGCTGCTCTACCACTGTGTCAGAATAGTGAATGGAGACAAGTGGGAGTTGAAAGCAAAGCGAGGGCTGGAGGTGCAGATCAGCAGCAGAACACTTGCTCGCCCCGCATACATGAGGCCCAAGGTTCCATCTGCAGCACCAAAGGGGGAAAAAAGCATGATAAACAATGTAAAATCAATACATCTAACTCCAAGACCAAGAGTAAAATCCACGAAGAAAAGATGCCACAAAATGGAATATAGTGGACAGGGACCAATACTGCAAAGTTTGGAATGACTATTTAAATTTTCAGCTGATATTTTAATCTTTTTATTAAAATACTGACTTTAGGACTGGAGGTGTGGCTCAAGTGGTGGGGCATCGGCCTAGCAAGCACAAGGCCCTGAATTCAAACCCCAGTACTGCCAAAACCAAAAAACTGGATTAAATTAGCAACTTTAATCTGTTAACCCACGTGGGCAGTTTCAAATGTTCCCTTTTCAAGAGTGCTGGAAAAGAGACATCCCAGCACAGGTATTAACTGCAGGTGGCGCTACTGAGTAGCACACACTTCATTCCCTCCCTCCGGATTTATGGTCCCGTAACTTCTAAAGTCTGAATGTGTCTTTTAAAGGGATATGGAGACATAATGAATTAAAACAAAAGGAGGCTCCTAAGGCTATTGTGCAGAAATGAATCGAAGGTGCTTTAGCCCACCCATCTATTGCAGAAACAGATGCCATGTCATAAACTCCTTTTGTTCTGGAGAGTTTTACAGGGGTGACATCTGTTTGACAAGGGAATTTCGTGCTACAGTGGTGTCACAATCAGTTCTCCCAGAAACAATGGAGAATCAGTTACACTTTCTGGGGTATAATTTAATGGAGCATTACGGTAAAACATTTCACTCTGCAGTTGTTTCTAACTTTAATTCTGAGGAAATCTGCAAAGAAAAGCCACCCCAATATGTTTTATTTCCCATAAACACTATGTACTGCACTGGGGACATTTAAAGTGTGGCCATTGAAGTGAACTGATGCAGGCAGCACAGCTTACGACACTGTCCCTAATTCTCAGGATGAGCAATCCAGAGCTCTAATTAAATCTTTTCATTCTAATATTGCTATTGCCAGGAACTGGGCTGACTGGTACCTAACTAGTACGTAAAAGGACCGTGTGTGTGCTATGTTTAAGCAATGCAGATGGAATCTGGCAGTCTCATTTGCAGAGTAAGGCCCCAGCAGGAAGCCTCTGTAAGTCTGAGAAGGGGCTACCATCTGCAGAAGCTGTGTACTCAGTAGGTCGTCCTGCACTGGGAAAGGGGAAGGAGGCTGCCTCTCTGCCACAGCTTCTCTAGCTTGCTGGCATGTCGTCTTGGAGAGGTCAGTGCTCTAGCTTGGCTCTTATGGACAACAGAAATTCTCACTGTGCTATCTGCCTGCAGAGCTGACTGCAGGCCTTACTAACCCAGCACTTCTTGCCCAGGACCCAGTAAGCATTTATTTCATTTAGTTCTTGGAATTTTCTCGGGGTCACTCATACCCACAGTGTAAAATTAGAGAATATATGCTTTCATCCTGAAAATAACCCACAGGACAGCAAAGGGCCCTTTATACAGCACATGTGTCTGTGCTGAATACGCACAAGTGAGGGCCAAAGAGGGACAGATTGTGACCAAAGTACATCTCGTGCACATACGAAATGTCATAATGAAGCCCAGTGTCTTGTACAATTACTACACACTAAGTACAATGCACAGGTACCTTCCTGAATGCCTTTTCCCTCAGCTGCCTCACTGGACATCCTCGGCTCATTCGAAGTTGCTACTGACAAGGTGTCTGGAAGGCTGTGCTGTTCTCGCTCATGACTCCTCAGCTGGCTCTAAAAACAACGAGAAAATTAACACGTAGCTTTCAATGGACACGCACGTCCAATCACTGCAGGGCTAGGTACAGAGGGCTTGCTCGCTCTCTGGGCCTATGGCCCAGAGCACATTACCAGTGTCTTGAAGTCAAATCTGCTGAAAAGATGACTCGACACGTCCAGCAGTGTGCAAAAAGGAACACAGCAGGACAATCACAGCCTCATCAAAAAGGGAGCTCTTTTTTCACATGCTCTGAAAGCAAGCCACCACTATCTTAGGAGGTGTTTATGCTGCGCGTGCGTGCTTACTGAGCCGCTGGCAGACCCAGCCATGGAAGGAGCACAGGGTGCAGCATAAAGTAACACTGCCACAAAAATAAATCTTCATAGCTTCTGCCTTTGAACACCAGCTGTGTGCACCAGAGGATCTGGTAGAACTGCTCCTCTTTCCACCTCCCAAGTCAGGAGGACTAACGGCAGCAGCAAAAGAAACTCCCAGACACTTCTAGAACTTGCCTTTTGGATATGCTACTTGGAATTTCCAGTAAATCCCAGACAGAAAGGATCTTTTGTTCCTGATTACTTTTTTTTTTTTAACCACCAGCTAGACCCCAGACTCTATGGAGTCTGAAGGATAAGGTAAACACTACACTCTGTTGACTAAGATATACTTCTAGCATTTCAATCTAAACCAATGATTCAATGAATGCAAGTTTCCTTTAAAAGAATAAACATTTCGCATTAGCTGTTGGGTCAGCATGTAAGATGAAAAGCAACTAAATCATCCTTGAAAGCCTTTTGAGCTGCTGAGCATGGTGGTGCTCAGAGAGGCAGGAGGGTGGTAAGTCTGAGGCCAGCCTGAACTGCACTGCAAGACCCTGCTTCAAAAAAACAAGGGGTGGAGGTATAGCTCAGTGCTTGCCTAGCAAGGCTGTGGGTTTTATCCCCAGCAATGCAAAACACAAAACAAAGCAAATGACGACAAACGAATAAAAAACCCAAAGTCCCTGGAACTGCCTACTGAGCACAGCATACACGGATATCTTTCCACTGTACTGCCTTCCAGTAATGCTGGGACAGTCTGTTTTCCCTTCTGTAACGACACAAATCATGGCTGGTCGGTGGTATAGCCTCTGGCCATGTAAGATGAGAAATAATCTTTTTTCTATGTTGATGACATACACTTAAATGTGTGTACCATGTAAATGAAAGCTGACACTAAAAGATTACCCACTAACACATGAAGGTAATAAATAAAGAGGCTACTAAGGAGCCAGAGAGCAGGTCAGGGAAAGAGCTCTGGAGCAGAGACTCTGAAGGCCTAGATTTCAGCCTTATTTTCAGTTCTAATTAGTCGGGATCCCCTGGGCAAATCAGCAAACTTTTTTGGGTCTCATTTTCCTTATCTGTCAAACAAGATGGCTGGACTCCATCGCCAAAGTCCCTCCTCACTCAAGGTGTCCTCTGGCAGACATCTCAAGGCCACGCTCACCTTATAGTGAAAGGCCTCCTCACACTGCTTGCACTGGTAGATCCTCGCCTTACAGTGCTTGAGCATGTGGCTCTCCAGGTCTTTGCTGCTGTCAGCGATGTGCTCACAGATGGGACACTGGTAAGGCTGCCTCTGCCGATGGACACGAAGGTGCTGTTTGATGTAGCCCTTGTTACCACTTGTGTAGTGACACAGGCGGCAGCGGTAGGGCCTCTCGGCGTCAGGGATGTATTCTACTACACTGGATCCCAGCAGACCCGTGTCACTGTTGGGCTGGCACTGGGCATTGTCCTGCAGCTCTTTCAAAATGTCGTCATCTGAGGCGTTTTGGTCGGTCCTTTCTCTCAGCTTTTCAATCACAGTGAGCAGGGACCTGCTGATGCCTGTCTTCACCTGCCCATCTGGCAGCTCCTGCCCACCCTCCGGAAGTGCCGCCAAGGTAGAGGTGCTTTGGTTGAAGCTAGCTAGTCCATCCGAAGCATTTTTAAGTGGGGACATCATTTTCGAATATGCCGCCAATGGACGACCGACTTGCCTCTGTCCTGTGTCTGGATCTAGAAGGTTTACATCCCCACAGTGCCCGAGACTGGCTCTTGTCAGTTCTGCAGCTCTTATAGGCATTGTGACCAGAGCTTCTGCAGCCAACGAGTGCAGCCTAAGAGACTCCGAATTTGTCCTTCTGCGGCCGGGCGGGGCGTTCTCGTCAGTGGCCAGTGCTTTACTTACCAGCTCGGTGTCTTTCTTCTCAGGACTGCTCCAGCCTAAGATCAATCCCCCGAGGTCAACTGCACACTTATCAGCATGGTAAATGCCATCCGCTCCCCCACCCCCTGCTTGAACTTCTGTAGGGTTCAGGTCCTTCCCCTCATCCATTTCAGCACTCATGAGGAAATGCTTCTGTGGCAGGGTGTCCTCGGCACTCGGCAGCCGCTCCACGATCACGTTCACGTGGCCCTTCTTATTTGGGCTGCTGCTGATGATCTTCTGGGCTGATGAGAGGAGGCTGTCGGTCATCAGATGCTCCTCGGAGTCAGACAGCACCTCCGGCATCTCCTCCTCGTTAGGGTCGAGGGTAACTGAATGGCTGGGTTCCAAGGGAGATGAAGATGGTAATGGCTCTGAACTGCAAATCTGCACTTGCACTGACGGCCCGTTGTGGATGCTCAGTTCACTGTCTCCAATGGCGATGACCACTGCATCCACGCCACCTGGTGCTGTGGACACGGAAGATTCCAGCAAGCCCAGGGGCTCATTCTCGTTCTCAAAGATGGGATAGGAGCAGTCGACTTCGCCTGCATGCTTCCAGGCGTGTGTTTTCAACATCCTCTGCTGGCCACAGGTGTAACTGCAGAACAGGCACCGGTACATACCGTACTGCTCATACGCGTACCATTTTCTCCTGCCCATCTCCGCCACTGATGTGCTTTGGACACTGTGAGTTTGAGGACTGTCCACACTGACTGGGATGTCAGCAGCCTTGTCATTCTGTCTGTCTGCGGTTCTCTGACATAAGGGGTTGGGTGGGCCTCTGCACGGTGGGGCTTTGGACTGGGTGTGACTGTTGGCATCATTGTCATGGTCATTGACGACGTGGGCTTCAAGTTCCTCCTGGCTTTTGGATGTAATATGGCACTCTGAGCACATCAGTATCACCTCATTCTGCTGACCATGCTGCTTGATGTGATCCCTCAGCACAGAAAAAGAGGAAGACAGAAACTTACAAAGGCTACACTGGTATGACATAGCCTTGCCGTCGTTTCGGGCCAGAGTGTCCGGGGGAGAGTTAGCTGGTGACAGCTCAGCCTTCCCAGTGTTGGCTGCAGATGACTGAGCTACTTTAGCTGGAATCGCACAGTCTTCTGGGGTTCCCAGAGAGCATGCTGTGGCACTGGAACGTGAGCGTTTTTTCCCAATTAGAAGACATTTTTGGGACTTTTCATGCCCTACTATCTTGCTTAGTTTCTGGATGACATGGATTAAAGGGTCGGTTTTAGCTTTTTGTGGCTCATCAATTTCCAGTGAGGGACTGAGGATGCCTTCAGCAGTCAACACAGCTTCCTGTTCCCCAATATCCGGCACCAACATGGTGACACTGCTGCTTTCTTCCATATCTGAAAGGATAAGGTATAGGAAAGTGCCAGGTTAAGTCTCAGGGATGTCACCTTACTGTCTAGGCTAATCTACATATTTTCTAAGCTGGGAGCTCCGTGTCAGTGTACCTGACTATCCCCGATGCAGACTTAATTCCTTAGGACTTCATTTTGGAACGCAATCTCCTATCTGGACTGGTGGAGGTCCTGTTATTCCTCACTTTATCCCTCTGTCTTCACTGACTTTGTCCTCCGTGGCGGTGGACCCAATCAGTACCCCCTTCCTTGTTAAAAACACAGCCATTCTCAGGGCCTGTGATCCTACCTCGAGTTACTGTACACCACCACCCTCTAAAGTCAATGTGATTTGATGTCATTCCTAAGAAACTTTTTTGTACCAAAACAGAACTTTAGATTTATTACTAAAAGCACAAATTTTTTTCCTCTACAAATCTTTGAAACTGAAAATTTAGTCATTTAACCCACTATAAAGAACACTGAAAATTTTTTTACAGGACACTGAATTTTGAGACGTCCTATAAAACTAAAACTAAATAAAAGCCATGATCCAGTTCCTTCTTGGACTTCCTTTGATTGGTTTTCTGAAGATAAACCACAAACTATGCAGTGGTTTTCCCCAGAGGTTACATTAGTGGTCAGCTGTTACTCATATCCACATTTAAGTACTTCTTCTTTCCTGAAAGGGAAAGGGGCATCAGAGAAGGAAGCTGTTGATATTCCCATAGTGTTTTAGGTTCAGAAGTGAACCATGTCCTTTGAAGAGATTATCTGCAGGTTCTAATGTTGCGCCATGGCCACGGAAGTCACCAAGCACCAAATGTCCACAAATCTTAGGGCCAGAGTGGTGGTGCATGCCTGTAAACCGAGCTACTAGGGAGGTAGAGACAGGTGGGTCAGGGTCAGAGGCTGGCCTAGGCAAAAGGGTGAGACCCTATCTGAAAAACAAACTAAAGCAAAAAGGGTTGGGAGTGTGGCTCAGGTAGTAGAGCAGCTGCCTAAGAACTGGAGGCCCTGAGTTCAAACCCCAGTACCACCAAAAATATAAAAAGAAAAAAAAAAAAAAAAAAGTACTCATAAGTCTTTCTGCCTAAGTCTTGAACAATATTCTTGTATTTTCTGGCATGGCTTTTATTTCAAACATCTCCTTTGGCTTAAAGTGAGATGAATTTGTTGACTTGGATCACATTTTTAAGCTTAGGCTGTTTTCCAGCAACAAGTTTTGTTTTTCCACATTTTAGGTGCATTCTGGAATCTTCCTCACAACATTCAATAAACGCCAGCAACATTTTCAAGGGTGCTAGTTACAGATCACAGACTATGTCCTATTCCTAAACTTTAGTATAGGCCCTGGACTCTTCTTTTAGATGGTGAATCCTGACCCCTTTTCACTGTGGCCAAATCCACATGGAAGGGTCCCTGCCTTGGCCGCTGGCCAGGACATACCTAAGCTACCTTGCCAGACCCCACCAGTGCTCCACCCAACCTCAGTGTCAGTTCTCCCATCATCTCTGGCAGGAAACCAGCTTTTTCTTCCTTTTGTCCCACTCCTTCTGGCACCTGGACCTCCTGTATCCAGGTTTGCATCAGGCAAACAAGCAAACATTTTGCTTTTGGCTAATACTCTGTATAAGTGATCAGCTTTTTTCTCTTCCAAGGGCTGCCTCTAACTGCCCTCAAGGCAGAGAGTGCATTCCACAGACATTACAAGACACTATCCCAGCTCCCGAAGGCCAGAGGTCCTTCAGACACTCTCCTAAAACTCTTAAAAGACTGGCTTTTTATCTTTTTCCAACAGAAAGCACAAAAGTCTTTTGGATTTCTACATTCAACTGTAAGTCCCTAAAGAGGAGATGAAGTTGGGAGGGAGGCTGTTTCTTTGAAAAGCCTGCCTTTGTGACTTTCTAAATTATTTTACTGTCTAAGGATTCCACATTTTGGTGGGGGGGGGAAGGGGGGAGCTGTGGCTCTTTGTGTGACTGCAGACCACACGCTGCCCCTATAACTTCAGGCTTTACTTCCTGTAGCTCAATTGGTAAATGCAAACTAGTTAAAGGATAAGCTGAATAACTGGGGTGCTTAGGCATTCGCCTTGGTGGACAAGGTGTGGCTCTCTGTTGCAGGTAGGAGGCTTCCTTCCCCATGAAGCACCTGTGACATCCAAGGTCGCTGGCTGGTCACTTGCAGCTAGGCAGGGAATGTTTGCTCCACAGACTGCTCACACCCACAGGGTCACAGGGTCACAAAGGTCACTTCCGTTAGCTCTCTTCTACTTAATGATGTAATGGAGGGAGGTGGAGCAGGGCCATTCGCTCCCATAGACAGTTCTGTGTGTTCCTTCTTAAAAAGGTGAAATGAAGAGGAGGAAGAGTTCATTTTATCTCAAGAAAAAGACTAACAGAAAAGAATGTGACAAAACACTGGCACTTTGAAAGCTGCGTGCAGTCAGGCGTTAGGAGCTAATGGAAATCTGCAGCAGACGCTCCAATTTCCCCCGAGCATTTATGCAACTGTCTCATTTTAGAGGCTGCATACGTTTGGAGATACATACAGGAAGGCAGTCATAAAGCAGATATGATAACATAAAATGCATAGAGAGACACCAGAAAAACCAGTTTGGGGCCACACACAAAACCAACGCCCAAGTTCAAACTCATTAAAGCATGTCTGCTAAACTAAAGATTATATAAACAGCTCATAGGAAAGCCAGCTCTTCAGACAATCATGGACAGGAGAAAGCCCAAGCGATCTTCTGTACATCTCACATATAATGATGTGTATCATAGCACATATGTATTACAAACCATGTCAAGTGCAGTGAAAGTTATTTGAATAAGAGATGAACAAAAAGAGTGGACTACAATCCCAGTGACTCAAAGCAACGATAATAGAGGCTGTGATAATCCCAATCCTATCCATGGATTCCAAGAGATTGATGTAAACATCGCTTAAAGAGATCACAGTGGTGGGGGTGGGAACGGTGGGGATAAGGGAAGAAAATGAACTGTGACAATGAGGTTGTGTGATGAGTTCCCAACGGTTCCTTACATTATTCTTCCTACTTGTCTAAGTGCCTAAGTTTTTTCACAATAAAAAGTTACTCCTTCTAAAAATCATTTTGTGCAAGGTACAAAGCAGAAAGAAAAGATTTTCAATTCATAGAGCTTAGACTGAAAAGCAAATTGAGTAGAGAAAAAAAAGACACACAGAGAAGCTAAAAGGATTCAATCAAGTAGCAGTGAGTACAGGGCAATACCCTTGCAGGTGACAGACAATGGCCAAATCCTCACAGACACTCAAGAGACGGGCACTTAGTCAGTCAAGTGGCCTCCACATGCCCACTGGCTCTGTGTATTGCCTCCATGCTATACCACCCTCCTTCTCTGCCCTCTGGTTTCCAGATGACTTCTGCGAGTAGACACTACACTCATCAGAGGGACATGGTAGTGAGAACAGGACAGTCACTGTCCTGGTTCCCCACCTCTAGGTCACCTCAGACTGACTGCAGTCCTACACAGGAGGCCACTTCTCCCATGACAGACTCTGCTTCTGGTTCTGATTCCTCTTCCTTTCTCTGATGCTGCTAGCTTTGGACACCTGATAACGGCATCATCACCATGGCCTGCTATGTAAATCCAACCTTTACTAATGGTGTACTAGTAAATATATCCTCCTTGGATTATCCTAATTTCAGTGTTGCTTGCTTCCTTACTGTTGATGCAAGGGTAAAATCGACAAGAAAGGCAGCCACGACACGGTCAGTGAAAGATCAAAATGGCTCCACAAGAAGGCTCAGCAAGAGGACAGAAGATGAGAAACATAATCCAAACAGATTTTTTGCTTGGAATCTTTAGACGTAACACCAGACCAAATACATCAAATTATTACAAATAAGTAAAGTTGTATATAAATTCTATAACCTTTGCCACTGAGTCTCAAATCTTAGCTGGACGACAGTACTCTGCAGGCAAAAGCTTCTACCTGTCTTTCCCAAGAAAAGTCAACAAATTAGTTGTCTTTATTTCCTTGTAATTTGCTATTTGGTTAATTTGTGTACCTAATTCGTTCCTTTTACCTATAGCAGTATGGCTACAAGTAAAGTCAAGTTGAGCCAGTCACCAAGTCTAGAGAAAGGCTGTAACTTCCCTGAGTACAGGAAGACAGCACAAAATGATGCTAAGGAACTTCTCTTTCGGCTTTCACTGTATGTGAACTGAGTGATGATTGAGAAGCCGCCAGAACCCTGGGCCGAGGCCTGAACTAAGAAGATGTATCCTGTTGTGGGAAGTGGGTTCCAAGATGGCCCCAAAGATTCCTGGCCCCCTAATCTCCTCCCCTTGGATGTAGTCAGGACTGTGGATGCAATGTTTTCACTCCCAGGGTGAGGCTGAGGTGAAGGGACTCTGCAGCTGTAATTAAGGTCCCCAATCAGTTAATGTTGCACTTATGCATAGGAGACTGTCCTGTTGGGCCTGACTAATCAAACAATAGCCCCCAAAGGCCCTGGACTCTTTGAGAATCAGATTTTCCAGCTGGCCTTCCAGAGAAGGGCAGGCTGCCATCTTAGGGAGAAGACCACATGGCAGGTCAGGGAGCGCCCTGACCTGCCAGGCAGTAAAAAGTCACGAATCTTAGTCCTACAACCACAGGACCTGAATTCTTCCAATATCCTGGGAGCTTCATAAGGACCCTGAGCCTCAGATGCAAACTTGGCCACTTTCAGCAAAGGCCTTGAATTGAGCCTGCTGTGGCCATGAGCAAAGGGCCCAACTAAGCCACAGCCAGACTCCTGGCCCCTCAGAACTGTGAAGAAATAAACCTGTGTTCACTTATGGTGCATCTTCCCTGACTACAAAAAGAACCCTCTTTTGCAGACAAAAGATTTATTCTTTTTTCAACAGGGGAAAAAAAAAAGCCACCCAAAAACTGCACGATAGAAGTAATGGGCAATCAATTCCCCATTTCCCAGAGCCTCATAATTCTAAAACACAAAGCATTTCTCTTGCCCCAGCCCCAAGTGTCCTCAGCTAGCTGTGTGAACTCAGCCAAGTCACCATCTCCATGGGGTTTGGATTCTTCAGCTGTCAAACATGAGGATGGAAGTGGATGAACTTTTAGCTCCCTCAACTATAAACTATAAACTAGGTATAAAAAGGAACTTGGAAACTGGTTTTGCTTCACACCTTACCAGTGGCAGCTACCATTTATTTGATTTAAAATCTTAATGTGATTAATTGCTAAGAAAGGAAAAAAGAAGTAGCAATAGCACGAGAGTATGAATTTCACAGTTTAGACAGAATTTCTTAGCCGGCACGCAGCCTGAGAGAATGTTCTAATGGGGCAGCTGTAATTAAGACATAAGGTCTAGCTAACATTAACTGATACTCAGAGTCACTGTAACTTACTGAGCACTTGAAATGTGCCACACGGTGCTGGAGATTACAGAAGGGAGGGAGAGGAAATCCTTGTCCTTGCTTGCAAGTCCAGGCTGCAGGGTCTGTGTAGATTTTGTGTAACACTCCTGTAATTCCTGGTACCACCAGCCACATTTTGGCAGAGGTAAAGCAGTGCTAGCTTTGGACAACTGATAGCTGTATTATTCCTGTGGTCTACCTGAGGGTCACAGATGTAAAGGAGTAACAGGCTCAAGAACCAACCCCTGCCAACCGGTTGCTAAAACTATTCTGTTTCTAATCCACCTACCTCTCTCTCAATTTTCAGAACAAAGACATGTAAAGTATCCCTACTGAAAAAAGTGGTTGCTAAAATATGTTTGTGTATTTGATCCTTCCCAAGGGACAAGCTAGGTGCTGTTATACAAATTTCTAAGAAAGGAAACTCAATGAGGTTTAAGTGACTTACCCAAGGTTACATGGTTGTTAAGTGGCAGAGCCAGTGTCTCTCAAATCAATTCCTGAAATTAATACAGTCCCTTGGATCAATCTTCAAAATTCAGCTGTGGCCAAGAATGAAAGTATATAGTATCAAACATTTCTCTTTCTTGGTGAAACAAACTAATGACTTACACTGCCAGTGAAAAAATTTCCAATACTCCAAGGCAAAAGGAAATTCTGAAGAAATGTTCATGCAACCTACTCCGTGATGCAAATTCGCACAACTTATCCAGACTTGGGGGTTTTACAAAAGCTTAAAAACATAGCTCTGGAAACTTCTAGTAATTGTACATTTTGTTTTATTCCCAGAATGTATGTAATTACCTCAGGAAACTATCGGCTTTACTGACATAATTTTCTAACAAGTACAGAATAGCAAATTACAGATTTCGAGTTGACTCTTAACCAAAAATATAACCTAAGGGAGAATTTATGCAAATTCTCCAAGCACAGTGGGGCCCAGTGGCAGCATAGAACGATGACACAGTGGCTTGACTTCTGTACCTTCTAACACAGTTTCTTGCCCTGGGCCTCCATTTCTTTGCTTTTTTTCTTTCTTTCTTACACTAGCTAGAATGAATCTAAAAGGTCAAAGAATGCTTATTGATTCCTTTCACCTAGATAGCAACTAATGACTAAAGTTAAGTAAAACACTTCACTGTGGGTGCCTCCTCTGAAGTTAATTTTCAACAAGTCTCTCTGCTAAAGAAATAAAGGCTTTCTCTTTTAATCTGCCCAAACACTGAGTCAGACTGGGGCATGGAAGAAAGCACAAACTTGAGGAGGTGATAAATCCAGGAACTGCCTGACAAGAGCCTGAAGGAGACAGATAGCAAATTAGTGAAGGAACAACAACGACAAAAAAAAAAAAAAAAATCGCCTTCGGGATGGGAAGGTGACCTATGCCTAATTGACTAGCCAGGCCTTCTGCACAAACCATTTCCTCTGCAAATGTCCCCAGGTCTTAATAGGTGTGTGCTTTTCCCAGGGATCTCCGTGACCTCGGAGACAATCATCCCCTGCAAGGATGGTTGACAAGTACAGAAGGCCAGGGCCACTTTGGTGGCCGCTTTTTCTGCACCACTGCAGACAATGACTGAAGGGCTGAGACAAGTCATGGGCGGGGAGACAATGCTTAGCTCCATCCCGGCTGGCCTGAGCCCTTTCCCACCTGCAGTCAGGCCTCCTTGCCCGACTGGGGACCAGGTTGGTGACAGCAGGTCCCCCATCCCCATTTGCAGGGCGAGCCCGGGGGTCTCGGCAGGCCTTGCTGAGGGTGTGGGGAGGAGAGGCGCACCGAGGACACAACAGGGACACGGAACTTGGGGCGTGGGGCGAGCGGCCCCGTGCAAGCAGCAGCAGCGGGCGCCGGCGGAGGCCCGAGCGGAGGATGCACATGGCCGGCGGCGACAGCGGAGGAGTGGCCCCGGGGCGCGGTACCTGAGGTCGGGCGGCGGCTGCTGCTCCCGAGAGCCTCCGGTGACCGGCTAGGACCCCCGCCGTGCCCTCGCCCTCGTCCTTGCCTGCCTGGTCCCAGTTCTTTTCCCTCTTTTCCCCTACCCGGCTTTCCCCCTCTTCATCCGAAGCTCCAAGATGGCGGCGCCGGGACGGATCACGTGACCCGCGGGCAGGTCAGGTGACCGGACTGGCGGCCGGGGGCGTGGCCACTGCAGACCACGCCCCTCCCGCAGACCACGCCCCCCTCCGCGGAGCATCCCTTGGCCACGCTCGCGCTGCAAAAAGAGATGCTGGGTCTGCTCCCGTGCGGGGTCCTCGCGTTTCTCGTGGGCCCCACGTGGCCCTGTCAGTGCGTATCTCCATGTCACCTCATTCTGCTGTGGGCTGACCCGGATCACTCCACCATTGTCTTGTCTTCCCACCACTGGCATTGTGCTCAAGGTTGCGCTAGTCTTCTTCAGGCGTTCTGAGCTGAAAGGTGAATGTCCCTGCTAGGGTCGGATGTGGCTG